CCCCGCCGACCAACTGCCACACCATCCCGAGCAGGCTTGTCAGCGGTGGTGCCAATGAGAGCAGCTGGGAGTTTCCAATTGCCACCAGAGCAAAGGTTACACTATTTCTGGCCCGTTGGCCAAGCCACAGCAAGGGAACCCGGGGGCGGGGGGTGGGCCGGGGGTGTTGGGAATTTCTGCAGCACCTCCAGAGGGAGCATCTCAGGTTTTAACTACTTGAGAGGCTGGGGCAGGGAGGTGGTTCCCTAAGCCTACCAGGTCACCCCACAGTGCCTGGGTCCCTCCTTCAGCCCCACAGCCCTGACCTCGAAGCACCTATAAACATAATGGAGCTCTGTGAGGGCCCAGAAGGACACCAACATGGAAACTGGTTGCTGACAGGAGCTTCTCAGAGATTCTCAGCAGATCTGCTGACCCCAGGACTCGGCAGCAACCACAACCCAACACCCCATAATCAAAATTCAAGAAGAGAGCCACCGCCCAGCTCAAGGCAGCCGGTCTCTGACCACCTCCCGATTTAACTACCAATGGCTCAAGTCAGAGGAAAAAAAAAGGGTTCTCTGGTTTCTTTAACTGTTCCCACACCAGACCTGCTTTTCTTGCAGACCCTAAGATAAAAGAAGGACCGTTTGGTTCAGTTTGCACATGAACCACACAAGAAGGGCCGAGAAAAGCCTTGGAGCCCAAGATGGTCTCTGAAGCAACATGAGACCCTGGGCCATGTTCAGATCAGGACTCGGGGCCGCACGCCGCCTGGGCTCAGGACTTCTATCTGCATGAGGGAGGATATGCCCTCAAAGGGCACCTGGGTTTCCTGCACTCCATCCTGCCCCCCATTTGCCCATGTGCCTTCAATATGAGCCCTCTCCTGTACCATCCTTCTTGGGCAGGGAGCCTTCGCAACACAACACCCCCAAATAACTCTGGTCCTTCATCCAGACTGTCAGGCCTATTTCTCTGCTTGGGTATGGGCCAGGACCGGGCACAGACACACTCTGTAAACATCTGTTAACAAATGTATTCATTTAAAAAGTACAGCGCCTGGACTATCCTGACATTGTTCCAAGCCATAGCTGCGTGGATGCGTAGATATTTAAGGAGCTCACTGCAATCAGAAATGATACAGAGGACTGGTTAGATAATTTATGGTAAACCCTGAAGTAGAATATTTTGCGGCAGTTTAAAAGAATGAGGGAATTCTCTGTATATTGACATGCATGAAGATATCACCAAGACCTACTGTTGAGGGAAAGAGCTAGTCACAGAACAGTATGTACAAATAAATAATAAAGTTGTATAAATATAATTAAGTGGTTACATAGGAAAAATACATAAGCACCCAACACTTAATAGTGGATTTCTCCAAGATACAGGACTATAGGAGGTATTCGGTTTCTAAATATTACATCCCTGTGTGAGTTCTTTACACCATATGTTAGAAAGCTCGTCATGTGTAGCTATTCAGATCCCGGCTTGCTGTGTGACCAGTAGCAAGTTACTTAACCTCTCTGAGCCTCCATGACTTCATCCATACCACTCAGCTAAAACAGTAACTGTGTCTTGAGATTGTTGAGTACTGATGTGAGATATATCACATAGTACCAATGCCTGGTAGAAAGTCCGTGTCCAATAAATGGTGGTTATTATTACTATCACTATGTATTATCTCTATGACCAAATACACAAATATACGTAAAATTTGTCCTTTGAAAATCACTTGGTGATAACTGCAAGAGAAAAGAACCCAAGTTTTGGCAAAAATCCTCTGTCTAGCTCTGGATTCCCACGTCGAACAGGAAATACGAGTAGTGCCCCACGGATAAACATGCTCGAGTGGGGATTAACAGCTACCCCCAAACCTGCCTGTTTTCCTACTAGCTTCTCAGCGAAGGTCCCACATTTCTCACTTTAACACCTCAGCCAGGGTGTGGCTGAAAAGTTTCTGTCATCTCCTGTGAGATTTTCCCCCGAGATAACGTAATAAAGCAAACTGCTCCATCCACGCAGGCTCAGGGCGGATGTGCTGTGAGGACCTCAGCAAAGAGACGCACGGCAGGTCCCCGGCTAGCTCCCAGGGCTTCCTTCCCCAGACAGCCTGCTGGAGACCCAGCTGCAAAAGCTCAGAGAGCGAAGGCCCACCAGCCTGGCTCCGCCCGTCACCTTTCTGAAGGCCCCAGAGCTTACCTGCACGGTCAGGTAGAGCCTGTGGGGGCTCCCAGGGCCAGCCCAGTCCACGCTGAGGGCTCGGCACTGAGCGAGGGCCGGGCGAGCTGCACTTCGGGCACCGGAGTCCTCGTCACTGCTGACCGGGGTGTCTTTTCCACACCCTGTCCCAGGACAGAGAATACAGGTAAGATGCTAGGCCCCCGGCTGAAGGCTGCTGGCCAGGACCCCTGGCTAGGGCCGCCGCTGAGCTCTGCTTCCCCACAGTCGGCGCCGGCCCAGGCGCAGCCAGGAGGGACTCACACGCCCTCACACGCCTGACCTACGCGGAGGGAAGGCCTGGCACCAGGCAGGGGCTGTGCTCCTTTCTTCCCAAAAGCCACCCCGAGCTTCTCTTTAGCAAGGCACCCGAGGCCTCTGGGGCGGGGGGGTGCTCTCCACCCTCCACAGTGGCTTTTGGGGCTGGCACTTGCTCATGAACACCCTCTCCAGAGAGCAGCAAAGGGAAGCCAATGCGAACCGGGCTGCGCTCATCTTCCCCGGAGGTGCACCCCAGGCCCGTGGCTTTATTACCAAGGCCGCCTCTAGGTGGCAATTTCTCCCCTGCCTTCCTAAAGGCCAACTCCTGCTTCCCGCAGCCTCCAAAAGCATATTCAGGCCCGGCTAAAGCACATCCCCTCGAGCCTCTGACACAGTGCCTCCCTCACCGGCTGGGGCAGAGAGCTGACCGTGGTATGGCTACCCCATGTACCCCATCCCAACCCCCCACCAGGGCCTTACTGCTCTGCCCGATCCTCAGTTTCCTTGTCAATAATATGGGGACAAGGAACCAAGCTCAGAGTCCTGGGGCGAGTGTTACATGGAATGACACACATAACATGCTCACTCTGCACCAGGCACACAGAAAGTGGCCACGGATGCAGGCCCTTAGGGCCATAACCGCGGAGGGTTAATAACGTGCCCAGGGTCACACTGAGCCAGTATTGCGATCCCATGGGCTAACTCACCCTCTGCTTGCCTATCCCTCTGAAGGCAGAGGTAAGAGTCGGGGTGGGGGCGGAGGGGCCGGGGTGACCAAGCTGGCTGACACCCTACTCAGTGTTAGGCACTCTGCTTAGCATTTCACCCACGGGATTTCATTTGACCTTTGTCTTAAATTGTAAAAGTGGATTAGTCTGTATGGTCATATAATCTTCATAATACTCACTTAATAGATCAATATGTGTGCATGCCCACATACACAAGATCAGAAGGAACTATAAAAAATGCCCATTAAGAAGCTTATGGGTGATTTTTATTTTCTTTTTTATACTTTTCAGTGTTTTTTCTTTTGAGTGGTTTTTTTTAGTTTTTTTAAAAATTTTTTTAGTTTTTTAGTTTTTAGTTTTTAGTTTTTTGTTTTTTTTAGTTTTCCAAAGGAACGTGTTTTTGTCTCTTACTTGTTTCTTTCGCTTTTCTCTCCCTTTCTTTTTACCAAAAAAGCAATACTCATTCATATTACATCTGTAATCCTTAGGAAAACCTTGTGGGGTAGAGACCATCTTCATCCCCTTCCAGACAATTGAGGCTACCTGACCCAAAAGCCCAAGCTTTTCCCAGAGACCCCAGGGCCATCCCCAGGCTCACTGTCCCCTGCAGAGAGACTTTGGAGGGTATCATTCCGGTGGCCACCAGTGGCACAAATGTGGTGGGAGAGAGGGGACTGAACAGGAGTTTGCTGTGTGGCCTCTCTAGGCCTCAGTTTCCCCTTTTGTACCTGGGGGTGGGGGCTTGGATCTGATGGCCCAGAGGGACTCTGCTAGCTGAGACAGGCTGGTAATCTAAACCCCTTTCTCTGTAGGTCAGGAATAACAGACAGTAAGCCCCTCAAGACATCTTGACTGAAGGCCCCTCTCTCCCTCCACACTTCCAGGAAGACTTGCCCAAGCCCAGCTCAGGAGACAGTCATGGGGCAGCTCCCCAGACCCGAAGATCCAGCCAGCACCAGAAATCAGATGTGCCGCTCACTTCTTGGCGTGTGAGGTACCAGGGGACATGACCCAGAAAGGAGAGCTGGTGTTGACAGCTCCCCCAGGGGGCCAACGAGGGGGGGGGGGCGCACTCGGGGACTCCTTCACTGTCCACCTGCTGTCGGGGCCCCTACAGGAGCCGCCCCGGATGGCACCTGAAACCGAGCGCAGGGCACCCAAACCCGGCCGGGCCACGCTCCGGGGCGGCCTCGGTCGGCTCCTCGCGCCTCCGGCGGGCCGGCCGGCCGCGATCAGGTGTCAGCGCCGCGCAGGGCACCGGGCGGCCCCTTCACCTACCTTGTTTACCAGCCGCCGCAGAAACCGGAGCGAGAGCGTGAGCGCTCGGCCAGGGACCAAAGACGCGCCGCCCGCGGAGCGCCCCCCGCCCGGCCGGGTGGAGATCGCGTGGTTTGGGCGGCGTTGGCCCCCTGCTCCAGCGACCGCGCTGAAGTTTAACTCGGCGTCCAGGACCTCTCTTTACGGGCGGGCGCGGGGCAGGAGCGCCAGCGAGATTGACACCCCGACTGCGACTCCGCGCCGGCCCGCGGGCTGCCCGGCACCCTGTAATTACCTGACAGCTCTGACTGAGCCTAGGAACTTGTGAGAAAGCCCGGCCTCATCTCTGCTATCTGGAGGAAGGAAGGGAAATAAAGAGGCATTTTAAAAATGCGGACTCACCAGTTCTCAACCTCCCCGGGCCGGTGTATGGGAAAGGGCGGGCGGCCGGGCTGGCGGGGGCGGGGCGAGCCATCCCCGGCTCGGGCTCCCCGGCCCGGCCCACTCTCCACAGGCCGCGCAGCGAGGGCGTGGCTCCCAGGTTCCACGGCCGGCGAGACGGGACCATGGCCCGGGGCTCAGCGGCCTCCTCGGGGCGCCGGGCGGCCTGCGGACACAACAGGGGAGGCGAGGCTGAGCCGGCTGCCCGGCACCTGGGGGGAACCCATCAGAGCCCGCCTGCAACAGGGCCACCTGTTACCCCCAACTCCAATGCCACCTCCACCCGCCCCCCCCCCCGCAAAGATCCCTGGGCTTGCGGGATGAAACAGAGCCCGTCATCATTTCAGGGTGCTTTTTCCCAAGTAAGGAGGCTCAAAAGTGGGTGAGGAGCCCATCAGGTGTGTCTACAGCACACTGTGGAGACCTCACATCTCACCTCCTCCGCTGGAAGCCTGGCAGCCTGAAGACACGCCAGGTCACAGCCCCTCACGGAGGTAGCCCAAGTCAACAGCATCTCCATAAATCTAATCAGAAGGGGCTGACTGTGGCCAGTGACAAGATAGTCTTGTATATATCAAATTCTCTTAAAGTCCACTCATTCTATTCAAGTAGCCTTCACTCTGTGCCTACAACTTGGCAGGCAGTAAGATACAACGATTCATTGCTTCTTCATCTAATAATTATTTATCTGGTATCTGCTGTGTGCCAGGCACCTGCCAGGGGTCCTCTTTGATCAGGAGAGATGGGGCCTCAAAGCTCCCTGTCAGGAGGGAGGTAAGCACTTCAGCAAACCTTCACCATCCGAATAGGATGCAGGGAGGCACCAGGTGGTATGGGAGAAGGGGATGGGGGTGGGGAGCACCGGTCTGAATAGAAAGGCCCATAGGAGGGCACCTGGGTAGTGCAGTGGGTTAGGCATCTGACTCTTGGTTTTGGGTCATGTCGTGATCTCAGGGTCATGAGACTGAACCCCGCATGAGACTCCACACTTAGCATAGAGTCTGCTTGAGATTTTCTCCCCCTCTCCCTCTGCCCCTCCTGTTTGTCTCTCTTTCTCTAAAACAAATTTAAAAATATTTAAAAAGAAAGAAAGCCGCATAGGTCACTCATGAACTGAGCAGATGAATAGAACAGACTTTAAGCATTCCCTACACGAGTCTTTATTGAACACCTATTGTGTGTAAAGCAGCTGTGAGGGCATTTAAAGTACCCAGCTACAGTCCCAGACTCAGACGGTGATGCCGTTAACAGAAGAAGCCAAGTCAGCTCAGAGAGGTGATGTGGAATTTGCTTTTGGTTTTAAAATGGAGTTCGAGGCACCCAAGAACTTCCTAACGGTGTTACCTGGACTGCAAATTGCTTTCTACCAAACAGTGAAGATTACCTATTTGAACGGTGTCCACTCCCCTGACCCTCTTGGCTCTCCAGGGTGGGGCCCACAGCACAGTCATCGGTGCAGCCCCCTCCCACCCAGCCTGGTACTGGAACAACACCCACACCAGACCCCTGGCAATGGCCTGATGGGTGAATACCTTGAAATACATGCACACACCGGCCCGGGCTGAAGCCTGGCAAAGAGCAGGGCTGGGGACTCAGAGCTGGGAGGCTAACGAGGGTCCCAGGACCACAGGTGAGGATATAATCACCAAAGGCACCCAAGCACGGAGCTCACACTGGGTGGTAAGGAAAGCTGGAGAAGGACGGTCCGAGGTGGCAACAACACCAGGCAACAACATGACCGGCTGGTTGGGGGGGGCGGGAGGAGAGGATGGTCAGTTCCCAGCGAGCAATGCCATGGGGAGGCCAAACTGGAAGAAAGCCCTGGGGGCTTTGGAAGGGAGCCCATCAAAGGAGCCGGGCAGAGGGCAGACCTGGGTAGGCCCAAGAGGTGGGCAGGGCTAAAGGAAGTGGCCGCTTCCTTCTCCGTGGGGAAGTTTGGCTTGGCTGAGGAGGGGAGGCTGAATTGAGAGGATGTGGTATGTAGAACAGGAGGCATCCGAGCTTGCTGGGTGGACAGGGCCAGGAATGACTGAAGCAGGGAGAGGCAAAAGAAGTCAGAGTGCAGGGATGGGTAGCGGAAGATCTGGTGACCGCAGTTCACACAGCTGAGCCCTGGAAGAATGCCAGGCTTACTGGCTAGGGACTTGTGCTCTCTGCCTTCCCTCACTGAGGAAGACAACTTGGAGGAGGCTCCTGGGTACAGTGCTACTGGACTGTGGGCCAAAGGATGGGGCAGAGGCTAATCCAAGTATGTGGGCCAGCTCCACTGAGGAAATGAAGATGGACCAGTGTGGAGCAGAAGGAACCAGGGGGAACAGCCAGATGCCCTTTTCCCCAGGTTGCTTGGCACGGAGCTGGGCACACGACCAACCCCAAGGACCAGCGGCCTACTGGGGCAAAGAGGGAGAGAGACAGGCTCCACCTGCATGCCAAGCTGCTGGAAAGGCGAGGGGCATTGAAGGTTGATTCCATGTTTGAGAGAGAAGACTGTTAAAGTGATCAGCTAAGTCTGAGGGACCGGGACAGGAGGAGACAATACTTCTGTGACTTCGTGGAAGGGAAGCTGGAGAGGCAGCCAGGAAGATAGCAGGAAGAAAGAGGAAGGGTGTGTGCAAGATCCTGAAGAGGAAAAAGCAGCTGAATTTAGCAGCCAGTAGGGTGGGAAGGTCAAAAGTATCCAGAACTCAAATGAGCCCAAGGCTGGGGCTTCTGCCAACTTGGGACTCACAGGGTGGGACAATGGGGACGTGGAGTGGAGTGGCTATGACCAAAAGCTGGTTCAGACCCAGCTCTGCCACTTACTGGATGTGTGACCTTGGGAACTTTGCCTCTCTGTGCCTCATTATCTCCATCTGAAAATGGGGAGAACTGCACCTTATAGGGTTGGCATAAGAATTAGACAACGCATGTGTAAAGTGTTCAGTGCCGGTATATGCTGGCATATACAAGGAACTCAAAATTTTTATTTTTCAGTGATCTCCCTCCCTCCAGTGGTGGGTGAGTCCCGAGGCGCTGGCTTGGAGAGAGGGACAGATTTGCCCCTCTTTGTCTAGGTCAAGGCAATAGAGCTGCAGTCCCCACTCTCCCCTAGACCAGGGATACTGCAATGATTAAGGACCGGATTTGACAAGTGCCCAGATACTGCTGCTGGGGAGGGCTTAGTCTCCCTGGGAGAGAAGGTCAGGGAGGTTGGACAGGGGCTAGGCCCTCCACTGCACACAGTCACAGGTCCTGGGTCTTCCAGGACAACCCAGACTTCAAAAACCTCCGCTCCCATAAGAACAGCAGAACTCATCATCCTAAGTCTCTAAAGTCCAGTAACTGCAAATACAGGGCCCCATTCTGAGGCTGCATTCCTTGCCAACGACTCTCCCCGGCCAAGGAGACGTCTACTTTATCAAGGGCATGGGAAGTGCGCCTGGGCAAGGAGAGGTGCACCCAGCCTCATGGCCCAGGGAAGGTGAAAGGTCAGGGACAGCAGTGACCCACAACCTTGAGACAGATATGCTGGGGGGTGGGGGAGTACTTGAGAATTTAAATACAGCTTTCTCTTTCAAATCTCCCAGGACCAGGCCCTTCACTGCACCAGAGTTCTGCTCTAACTCCCAACAGGGGGTTGAAGGAGGTGGCTTCTGGCTTGCCCTCCCTGCAGGGATCCCCCAGGCTGCTGCTGTCGCCGGCTCAATTTCCTACTGCCCAGGAGGGCACCGGCCCAGGCCCTCCTTCCAACCTCAGGGCCGGCCTACCCTCCCCTGCCCTGCGAGGGGGAAAACGAACTGCCCAGGGAACGTACGTGGTGGGAGGGCTCGAAACTGCAGCCTT